CTTAGGGGGAGGCAGGTGGGGGGGTTGCCGGGGGCTGCCATTTTCAAGGGGCCGCTGGCCGCTGCAGTCTTAGGGGTAGTGTGGCATTTTTGGGGTTTTTTTTGGTCGACCAGTTTCCCCCAGCGTTTTTTTTTTTTTAAAAAAGGGTTCCATGGCCAAATAAAAATTGGCCAAATATTTGAAGTAGATCAGACAGATTCTTATACAAACCCTATTTTTAAAAACAGCTCTTTCCTGCTGTCCTCATGAGCCTGCTGCTGCAGTATCTACTCCTTCACCCTGCCCACTCCACAAAGAGGCAAAAAAGTTTTTCCAAACACACTCAAGCTGTGTCTATACTACAAGCCTCTTTTGCAAGAGGCATGCAAATGGAGTGCTCATTTGCATTTCCTCAGATCCCTTTTGCACAAGAGGTTTTTGCGCAAAAAAGCTGTGTAGATGGCTCCTTTTGCGCAAGAGCAACTTTAAGGGCCATTAAATGCAATTTTGGTACTCTTGCTTTGTACTTGCATGGTCAGCTTTAGGTTGGTTCTGCAGTACCCTGATGCAACTGCTCTGGCCAGGACTCTGCTGCTTTTCAGGTGCACAAGAAGAGCCCCAGGCAAATTTGAATTTTGTTTCTCCATCTGCTTGCCATGCAGCACACCTGACCATGAATACCCTAGGTCACAAATGATCCCCAGCATGGAGCATGCAGGAGATCCTGAACCGCATTGCTATATGGGGAGAGGAATCAATTCAGGCAGAACTATGAAGCAGGAGAAGAAAATGCAGATATCTATGCCAAGATTGCACAGGGCATGGTGGAGAAAGTATACACCAGGGATGCCCAGCAGTGCCACGTGAAAATAAGACTTCAGGCAAGTATACCAGAAGACAAAGGAGGCAAACAATCTAGGTCAGCGCCACAAATGTGCTGCTTGTATAAGCAGCTGCATGGGATTCTAAGGGTGACCCAACTAGTTTCCCAAGCCAGTCAGTGGATTCCCTCCCAAGACACTCCCTCTAGCAGCAGTGTGGAGGATGATATCAGATGCGCCACTTGCCTGCTACCATTGACAGCCAAGACCTAAGTTTCGGAGACAGCCTCCTCCCCCCAGGACATCTTCCTGCCATCAGGGCCTGGCAGCAAGGACACTCTCCACTGGGGCAGCCACCAGATCACCTCTGGACAGCTGCATGGAAGGGCTGGGAGCAGGGTGTGGACTCCTAGGGAGCAGCATCTCCATGTTTTGATCCTTTTGCAGCTGCAGTTCCCAAGAGAGCCCTGAAGTTCTGCAGATACCAATTTATATCCCCACAAACTTATCTGTTTAGGGCTCTACAGATAGTCAAGCATCCAAAGCTACTGCTTCAACCAAAGCAGCATCTAATGACTAGATAGCCAAGACAAACAGACCAGGTTATGGGTAGCATGCTAACCCTCCCCTCCCCCCTGCAAGCATCACCAGTCAAGAGATATTACTACAAGAATCTTATCTTCATCTGGGGAGGTTGTGCATGATTTAATCTCAGGATCCCCACCACATGACACTCCCAGATTTGCCAGAGGGTGGTAATATTTTCACAGCAATAAAGTTGTTGAAACTTGCTTCAAGTTGTGTGATTCAGAATGATTAAGAGCCATGTGTCAGGATGAGTATTTTCCAACCCAATATAAATCTATTAATGGAAGACCGAGGTTTTTGGGAAAGCATGAGTACAAATGCAGCCTTCAATGCTGCTAAGCAAAAAAAAAAAAAAACATTAAATTTCATCTAGTCTTCCCATCTATATACCCATTATTAAGGCTATGATGATGTTAGAGGTCATGGAATCTGACTGAGGCCTCCTCCCTGGGACAGCATCCCCTGTGCCAGTTCCCAGCCAGTGGTCAATGGGGTTCTTGCAGCTTAGCTAGACCCTCCTCCCTCCCTCCCCATTTTAGTAACTGAAAACATTCCTGACAAAATGAGTCAGACCAGTCCGATTGTGACTATTGCCTGTGACCTGTCAGACACTCTATCCACGATGAAAATCATGTCACCCATTAGTATTACCAGACAAAGTTTGCCTTCCAACTTGAAGTTAAAGGAGAACAGCGCTTGCCATTCCAGTTTGGGTGTTACATACCTTCCTTCAGAGAGGCTGTGCGCAGTCTTGTTCGTTTTCGTCCTTTATGATCTTCCTCTAGTATTTTATCATCAAATCCAGTGAGCTCAATGGTTTCAGACTGACTTGTGGGTCCAGCAGAGAACCACTCTGGCTCTTCCTCGGCATAAGAATCATTCCTTCTATGTTCCCCAAAGACACGTTTGCTATCCCCAAATTCCCTCTGAAGTTGGTAGTTACAGCATGGAGAAGGAAAATTAGAACTTGTTTTATACTTCAAACACTCGCAATTTTTTCATATTGGTTCACCAGCAATTGTTGAAAACATTTGAAATGTAGATAAATCGCAGATAGCATCAACCTACTATTTATACTGTATAGTCTTTGAGCACATGTAGTTTCCCTAGTGAATTTTGACAAGTTACACATTTTGTTCTTCTACCATGGAGAAGGAAAATTAGAACTTGTTTTATACTTCAAACACTCGCAATTTTTTCATATTGGTTCACCAGCAATTGTTGAAAACATTTGAAATGTAGATAAATCGCAGATAGCATCAACCTACTATTTATACTGTATAGTCTTTGAGCACATGTAGTTTCCCTAGTGAATTTTGACAAGTTACACATTTTGTTCTTCTACATCCCC